ACTGGAGGCTTGGGCTGTTCGGACGCAGGCTTCACTGGAGGCTTGGCTGTTCGGACGCAGGCTTCACTGGAGGCTTGGGCTGTTCGGACACAGGCTTCACTGGAGGCTTGGGCTGTTCGGACGCAGGCTTCACTGGAGGCTTGGGCTGTTCGCCGGCAGGCTTCACTGGAGGCTTGGGCTGTTCGCCGGCAGGCTTCACGGGAGGTTTGGGCTGTTCGCCGACAGGCTTCACGGGAGGTTTGGGCTGTTCCCCGGCAGGCTTCACTGGAGGCTTGGGCTGTTCGCCGGCAGGCTTCACGGGAGACTTGGGCGGTTCGCCGGCAGGCTTCACTGGAGGCTTGGGCTGTTCGCCGGCAGGCTTCAATGGAGGCTTGGGCTGTCCGCCGGCAGGCTTCACTGGAGGCTTGGGCTGTTCGGACGCAGGCTTCACTGGAGGCTTGGACGGATCAGACCCAGGCTTCACTGGAGGCTTGGGCGGTTCAGACGCAGGCTTCACTGGAGGCTTGGGCAGTTCGGCTGCAGGAGTCACTGGAGGATTCGGCAGTTCAGCTGCAGGCGTCACTGGAGGATTCGGCGGCAGTTCGGCTGCAGGCGTCACTGGAGGATTCGGCGGCAGTTCGGCTGCAGGCGTCACTGGAGGATTCGGCAGTTCGGCTGCAGGCGTCACTGGAGGATTCGGCAGTTCGGCTGCAGGCGTCACTGGAGGATTCGGCAGTTCGGCTGGAGGCGTCACTGGAGGATTCGGCAGTTCGGCTGGAGGCGTCACTGGAGGATTCGGCAGTTGGGCTGCAGGCGTCACTGGAGGATTCGGCAGTTCGGCTGCAGGCGTCACTGGAGGATTCGGCAGTTCGGCTGCAGGCGTCACTGGAGGATTCGGCAGTTCGGCTGCAGGCGTCACTGGAGGATTCGGCAGTTCGGCTGCAGGCGTCACTGGAGGATTCGGCAGTTCGGCTGCAGGCGTCACTGGAGGATTCGGCAGTTCGGCTGGAGGCGTCACTGGAGGATTCGGCAGTTCGGCTGCAGGCGTCACTGGAGGATTCGGCAGTTCGGCTGCAGGCGTCACTGGAGGATTCGGCAGTTCGGCTGGAGCCGTCACTGGAGGATTCGGCAGCTCGGCTGGAGGCGTCGGTGGTTCGGCTGTAGCCTTCACTGCATGGATACAGATAATCCGCTTTAGTCAGTCCGTTTAGCGGAATCCAGTCTCAGATTTAGAGCATAAAACACAAATTGCAAGTTTCTTATTTTAAGTATTAATCGTAATCTATTAGTATTGTAAAGCCATCCGGTGCTTGTTCAGCTGAATACTTTTGACACAGAGAACGGTAAAGTAATTAAATCAAACAAGACAAACTGAAATCACGAGAAAGCCGACCCAAACACTAATATAATAACATATCAAATACCTATATATGGAGCCATACACTGATGTCCACATCCATTGCTGCAGCATTTCTCATTGTTCGGACAGTCACTGTCATAGTAACACAACTCGGCACACATTCCTGCTCCAGACTTTGTGCTTGGACACTCCCCTGGCTTTGCTGTTATACAGACACATGACAGAGAAACCACATCACTGAATACTGAATGTCTCATTCACCGCTTAAAAAATAAAGTTGTCAAAGATGATCGGAGTAGTTTTTACAGGAATATTCAGTCTTTCTACTTGGTAGTTTCATGTTTAGTTCAATGTGTTACTTGCGGTTTCTTTGAAATTGTGAAATGTACGTGCAATTTCTGAGTGAAAACTTGTTTATACACCATTTTTTTCAGTGAAGATCTATAGCATCCATCATTAAACTCACTGAAAACAGGCGGCACGCACACAGCCCCACAGGGAAATTGACAGCATTTGTGTCCTCCAGAGCAGTCTCGATCACAAAGACATCCTCGACGGGACGGCACGACGGTCAGCTTCGCCGGACACTGACCGGACACTACAGAAGAGGATTCAAGAGGATAGTTAGGGGAGACCAGGAAGTGCTTTAATAGCTTGTTTCAGCATTTGCAGAACAGGGGTTTTGCAATATGTGCCTCAAACTTTAATAATATTCACATTTATCAGCTTCAAATCAAAGTAGCTTAGACATCTACCATTTATCACTAAACTGCGTCAATTAGTTTCAAAGACTGAGAGTGCCGTTACAACCTATAGTAGGGCGAGTAATAGTACAATGCTGATAGAAAACATGATGCACATCAGTAAATAGGTTGTTGTAACTAAGTGTACTTCAAAAATTGTTATGCCATCCCTCATTCCAAGCATTTTAATAGGCTACACAACACAAAAGTTATAGCTCCCCGTGTTATAGGCTATTGAAGGCATAAATAGTTGTTAAAATAGGGAAAACAAAACATGAAGCAGAAGTTTAAATTCAGGATTGATGTCTATGTGGTAACAACTGCGTAAGCATATAACATGTTCTTGATTTACAGCAAACAAAAATACTATACATTAGAGATTGGATGGGTTTTACTTGTACAATGAAATAAATATGCATAAACTTATGACAGTTTTGCATATTTATACCTTGCTTATTATTGAAACTAAACCACCGTACAAAGTTAAACTTCCACTGGACGTCTGTACTGTACTTTTGTAAACCAATGTGCTGAGATGGGTCCAAGTCATATTTTGTAAGGCACGTTCTTCGGGCTGTGTAATAAACTAAAAGATCTTCTCACCTACGACTCCAGCGTCTGTTGTGCTCAAACATGCAGACAGACACAATAAAACAGCACTAAATGAGCAGTACACTCGAGCTGTCATCCTCACGACCTGCGATCTCACAATCAACTCTGCTAGAAGATGGGCTGAATTAGTGAGTCAGGAGGGGCAGGCAGGGAGAAACACAAACTACAATGAAAAACCGTGCCGCTGCATCAAAATATCTGCTGAATCCCACAACAAACGCTGTAAAAAAAAAAGTGGGGTTTTAAAGATCTTCTTGAAAAAAAACGCGTTTTTAAAGATCCAAGGAGGTCTAGGTAACTCCAACCCTGATGATTCTCACCTGCCTGCAGCTTTCTAGTAGCCTAATCTCGAAGACCTTGATTAGCTTGTTCAGGTGTTTGATTAGGATTGGATGTCGTAATAATTAAAGTAATTAGGAGAAGATTGAGCGTTTGTTAAAAGAATCTGCAGTGGTCAGGTGGTACAGCGATCAAGTGGTACCAGTCGGAGTAGTAGGCTAGCACAAGTTTTAACCGTAATAAAAAAAAATCCGTTTGAATGTCCACTGCGATATCTTGTCCTTTTAACAGTTAATGGGTTTTCCAGTGCCCTGACACACTAGTCAATTTCCAGTTGCATCTTGCTTCTCCGTGTTCACAAGTTTCAGTCCTTTCAATATAAAAGTCTTCTCTACTGACTGACTCACTCATAAAGACAGTCTTTGCCACCATCTAATGGTGAAATAATGTAACTTCTGTTGCTGTTCACGGTCAGGGACTATTTTTTCCAGCTGAAGGAAGCCTTTGTGATTTTACTCCATGAAAGTTGCATTGATACATATTTTTTTGGCTTTAATTGTTGCATCGTGTGGTAACTCCGCTTCGCGTCGTGCCTAACAACACCCTTTAGCCGTGACTTATTTACGATACAGCACAGCCTCTCATACCTTATTGCTTACATGTTATGTGCTTTGAGACATGAGGTAAATTAAAGGTGACATATTATGCCCCTTTTCACAAGATGTAATATCTATGGTGTCCTCAGAATGTGTCTGTGAAATTACAGCTCAAAATACAACCCAGATCATTTATTATAGCTTGTTAAAGTTGCCCCTTTTTGGGTGTGAGCAAAAACGCACCATTTTTGTGTGTGTGTCCATTTAAATGCAAATGAGCTGCTGCTCCCCAGCTTCGGATACTCCGTCAATAACAAAACACGCGAATTTCAGACAAATTTCAGAAGTAAGTAGCGGAGGGCAGCCTTACGGAGAGACTCAGGAAGAGGTTGCAACTTTTAGACTTAACCTGGACATTTCTGAATGGTTAGTGGATACAGTTATGTAGTTGTTGTGGAGTTACATTGATTCACCTCATCAACTTGCATGTGCCGTCATGTTTAACTTTTACACAAGTTGACAGTTCCCCGAGCTCTTTATAAGACAGCTGTGACATTTTTTGGTCAAATAGTGCTCTGTGCAGCCAACGACAGAACGGTTTGAGTGCTTTGCTCGAACTTTTGCCATTGCGTTAGAACTGGTTTAGAACTCTCATCTCGTGGCGCTTTGCAGACTCTGCTGTGTGAGTTCATGTGTTTTGAAGAAGGTGTGGCTTTGGAAACACTCTGAAGAGGGGGTGGGATCTCACGCTTTCAAAGCTAGCCTGCCATTGCTAGCCTCTCCGCAATTGCCTACCCTACCTTTAAGCAAAACGTAAAATAGTTAAGAATTGCTGTGAGATTGTCCAGAAGTTAAAAATATGTATGAATTTAACAAAGATTTAATGTAACTCAAGTGGTTAACTCCATTAATGAGAGGGGCCCATTTTGTGTGAAGATGAAAACAGAGGTCTTTCGTTACAAGACCTCTTGCACGTGTTTGGGTCTTGGTGAGGTGATTTTTTACTTTCCTAAAGCACTAATGCCAATGAACCATTATGTGAGAACAGCCAAATGAACACTGGCATACCAAAAACACCAACTCTACAATCAAGCAATTTTCTTTGTTTTTCCACAGAAACAAAGAAAGAAGTCTTACCAAAGTGTGAGATTTATTTGGTGATAAACAGGGAAGACATCCCATACATTCAATGGTTAAATCAGCACACTTAACTTTATGCATGGCCACATTCTCTAAGACCCCCCATAAGGTGATGAGGACCCCCCCATATGGCCAGAACATTTGCCATCAGGGCGAGTTTGGTGACAGTTTTCAGCACACACTGCAGGCTTCACTGGAGGCTTGGGCTGTTCGGACGCCGGCTTCACTGGAGGCTTGGGCTGTTCGGACGCCGGCTTCACTGGAGGCTTGGGCTGTTCGGACGCCGGCTTCACTGGAGGCTTGGGCTGTTCGGACGCCGGCTTCACTGGAGGCTTGGGCTGTTCGGACGCCGGCTTCACTGGAGGCTTGGGCTGTTCGGACGCCGGCTTCACTGGAGGCTTGGGCTGTTCGGACGCCGGCTTCACTGGAGGCTTGGGCTGTTCGGACGCCGGCTTCACTGGAGGCTTGGGCTGTTCGGACGCCGGCTTCACTGGAGGCTTGGGCTGTTCGGACGCAGGCTTCACTGGAGGCTTGGGCTGTTCGGACGTAGGCTTCACTGGAGGCTTGGGCTGTTCGGACGCCGGCTTCACTGGAGGCTTGGGCTGTTCGGACGCAGGCTTCACTGGAGGCTTGGGCTGTTCGGACGCAGGCTTCACTGGAGGCTTGGGCTGTTCGGACGCAGGCTTCACTGGAGGCTTGGGCTGTTCGCCGGCAGGCTTCACTGGAGGCTTGGGCTGTTCGCCGGCAGGCTTCACGGGAGGTTTGGGCTGTTCGCCGACAGGCTTCACGGGAGGTTTGGGCTGTTCGCCGGCAGGCTTCACTGGAGGCTTGGGCTGTTCGCCGGCAGGCTTCACGGGAGACTTGGGCGGTTCGCCGGCAGGCTTCACTGGAGGCTTGGGCTGTTCGCCGGCAGGCTTCAATGGAGGCTTGGGCTGTCCGCCGGCAGGCTTCACTGAAGGCTTGGGCTGTTCGGACGCAGGCTTCACTGGAGGCTTGGGCGGTTCAGACGCAGGCTTCACTGGAGGCTTGGGCAGTTCGGCTGCAGGAGTCACTGGAGGATTCGGCAGTTCAGCTGCAGGAGTCAGCGGTTCGGCTGCAGGCGTCACTGGAGGATTCGGCGGCAGTTCGGCTGCAGGCGTCACTGGAGGATTCGGCAGTTCGGCTGGAGGCGTCACTGGAGGATTCGGCAGTTCGGCTGCAGGCGTCACTGGAGGATTCGGCAGTTCGGCTGGAGGCGTCACTGGAGGATTCGGCAGCTCGGCTGGAGGCGTCGGTGGTTCGGCTGTAGCCTTCACTGCATGGATACAGATAATCCGCTTTAGTCAGTCCGTTTAGCGGAATCCAGTCTCAGATTTAGAGCATAAAACACAAATTGCAAGTTTCTTATTTTAAGTATTAATCGTAATCTATTAGTATTGTAAAGCCATCCGGTGCTTGTTCAGCTGAATACTTTTGACACAGAGAACGGTAAAGTAATTAAATCAAACAAGACAAACTGAAATCACGAGAAAGCCGACCCAAACACTAATATAATTAAAGCTGCTAGCAGCATTTAGCGGTGTTCAAGCAGTTAAGGCCTTTAAGGCCGTTAAGCACAAAAACATCAAAAGACATTAAGTTTTATGTAGCAAGCATTTAAACATTGACATCATAGATGGAATAGACCATGTTTTAGCATGATTTACCATGATATACCAAATTTAGTGTGATTTTTCATGATCTACCATGTTCCAGTATGATTTACCATGAATCTAGCATGATTTACCACAGTTTACCATGATTTCCCATGTTATAGGATGATTTACCATGATATACCACATTCTAGAATGATTTACCAGGATTGTAGCATGATTTACCATGATTCATCCCATTGCTAGCATGATTTGCCATGATCCACCATGTAATAGTATTTTTTACTATGATTTACCATGTTTCTATCGTGATTTACCATGATTTACCACATTGCTGCATTGATGTGAAGTGTCAATAAAAATGAAGTGATAAACTCTGACAAAAAATGATTGTGTTATAATAGTTAACATGGAAAAACTGGTTTGCTTTAGTGCAGAAAAATGATGAAAATTAAGTGTGTCAAAATGAGAGTTAGCCAATAAGTGGTCTTCTACTGCCCTCTGCTGGGCACTCTACTTATTAATAAAGTGTTTTCACAGGTGCGTTTGCACTCATATGTAGACATTTGCTCACACACACACATACACACACACACACACACACAGACACACACACACACACACAAAGTCATTATGAAAATATATTTTGATGGTCTATAAGCATTTCATGTCTTTGCAAGCTATTAATCAGATTATTCAGAATTTATTCATAAACATGGGACTACACACACACACACATTCTATTGTAGATTAAACTGTCTCATTCAGGGTTCACATTTGTCAATGTGACAATTCATTTTGACTAAATGTGAGTGTAAATGTTAAAATAGTGATTATGTTAATTCTAAATAAGAATTATAGAATATTAGTAGTTAGTAGCATGACAAAATGACTATTTTAAACAGCGGGGGGCAGTAGAATACAACTTATTGGCTTAATGTGCCATTATGTTATAACTTTAACCTTTTTAACTGTTATAGATGCATTATTTCTTATCTTATTTAGAGTAACATGTTCTGACTTGTTTTTAAGAAGATCTGAGCATTCATTGAAGAGATATAGGCTTTCTTGGTCAAGGCTACATATTGAAGTGACCCTAATACAGCCATCCAAATGAAGAAGTTATAACTTTTCTGATAATTATTTATCTAGAGAGTCCAGAGAATTGTACTGCACTGATTTTGAACATTATGATATAAATATTATATGATCATAGATGGAACACACCATTTACAGCCAATACAGGCACTTTACCATAGGAAATACATGTTTTTAAAGCTTTTCAACAGTTATAGCGCCACCTATTGTCCGATCTCCATAAAACTTTGCATGCGTGTTCATGATGTTATGGCACATATGCTCACCAATTTTTGTGAAGTTCTGAATTTTTATTTATGATTTATAGGCTTTTGAGTGTGTTTTGACACGCCCCTTTTTATAAATGATCCTGTTATAATGTACCAAATGTCAAAGTTCAACTTTTTTTCGATAATTATTGATCTAGAGAGTCCAGAGAATTGTCCTAGACTGGTCTGGTTCCGATCGGGCGAAAAACCAGGGACTAGTTCGCAAAAGTAGGTTTTTAACATATTTGTGAATATTTAATGAACGATTTGATTTGATTGACAGCAATGGTTCTAGAGGCAAAGTTGTTCAATATAAGGAGATCTATCATATGATAAGCAATTTAGTACTTTTGGTTGCTGTAGCGCCACCTATGGGCCAATCGGGGTCATACTCTGATAGGTTCTCCCCAAACTGAGGCCCTAGCACCTGGCCAGGTTTCAAGTCTCTAGGCCTTACGGTTTGGGCTGCACGATGCGTTTTAGGTTTTTTTTTTTTTTCAAATAGCAATTACAATAGGTTTTCAGCACTTCGTGCTTGAACACCTAATAATAGGGGACCTTTTTGACAGTTATAGCGCCACCTATGGTCCGATCTCCATGAAACTCTGCATGCTTCTTCACCATGTTATGACACATGTGCTCATCAATTTTTGTGAAGTTCTGAGTTTTTATTTATGATTTATAGGCTTCTGAGTGTATTTTGACACGCCCCCTTTTCTAAATGACCCTGTTACAGTGAACCAAAGGGCAAAGTTAAACTTTTTTTTGATAATTATTGATCTAGAGAGTCCATAGAATTGTCCTAGACTGGTCTGGTTCCGATCAGGCAAAAAACCAGGGACTAGTTCGCAAAAGTAGGTTTTGGACAAAATTGGCCATAACAAAATTTTTTTTGCTCAGATCGAGAATCCGAGATATACATCTTGTCCGTCTTGAGCCAAGGAACACAGTGGTGCAAAAAGCTTGATTCCAAGTCAAACGGTCTAGGAGTTATGAGCAATTTAGTACTTTTGGTTGCTGTAGCGCCACCTATGGGCCAATCGGGGTCATACTCTGATAGGTTCTCCCCAAACTGAGGCCCTAGCACCTGGCCAGGTTTCAAGTCTCTAGGCCTTACGGTTTGGGCTGCACGATGCGTTTTAGGTTTTTTTTTTTTTTCAAATAGCAATTACAATAGGTTTTCAGCACTTCGTGCTTGAACACCTAATAATAGGGGACCTTTTTGACAGTTATAGCGCCACCTATGGTCCGATCTCCATGAAACTCTGCATGCTTCTTCACCATGTTATGACACATGTGCTCATCAATTTTTGTGAAGTTCTGAGTTTTTATTTATGATTTATAGGCTTCTGAGTGTATTTTGACACGCCCCCTTTTCTAAATGACCCTGTTACAGTGAACCAAAGGGCAAAGTTAAACTTTTTTTTGATAATTATTGATCTAGAGAGTCCATAGAATTGTCCTAGACTGGTCTGGTTCCGATCAGGCAAAAAACCAGGGACTAGTTCGCAAAAGTAGGTTTTGGACAAAATTGGCCATAACAAATTTTTTTTTTGCTCAAATCGAGAATCCGAGATATACATCTTGTCCGTCTTGAGCCAAGGAACACAGTGGTGTGCAAATCTAGATTCTAGGTCAAACGGTCGATGAGTTATGGGCAATTTAGTACTTTTGGTTGCTGTAGCGCCACCTATGGGCCAATCGGGGTCATACTCTGATAGGTTCTCCCCAAACTGAGGCCCTAGCACCTGGCCAGGTTTCAAGTCTCTAGGCCTTACGGTTTGGGCTGCACGATGCGTTTTAGGTTTTTTTTTTTTTTCAAATAGCAATTACAATAGGTTTTCAGCACTTCGTGCTTGAACACCTAATAATAGGGGACCTTTTTGACAGTTATAGCGCCACCTATGGTCCGATCTCCATGAAACTCTGCATGCTTCTTCACCATGTTATGACACATGTGCTCATCGATTTTTGTGAAGTTCTGAGTTTTTATTTATGATTTATAGGCTTTTGAGTGTATTTTGACACGCCCCCTTTTCTAAACGACCCTGTTACAGTGAACCAAAGGGCAAAGTTCAACTTTTTTTTTGATAATTATTGATCTAGAGAGTCCATAGAATTGTCCTAGACTGGTCTGGTTCCGATCAGGCAAAAAACCAGGGACTAGTTCGCAAAAGTAGGTTTTGGACAAAATTGGCCATAACAATTTTTTTTTTTTGCTCAAATCAAGAATCCGAGATATACATCTTGTCCGTCTTGAGCCAAGGAACACAGTGGTGCAAAAAGCTTGATTCCAAGTCAAACGGTCTAGGAGTTATGAGCAATGTAGTACTTTTGGTTGCTGTAGCGCCACCTATGGGCCAATCGGGGTCATACTCTGATAGGTTCTCCCCAAACTGAGGCCCTAGCACCTGGCCAGGTTTCAAGTCTCTAGGCCTTACGGTTTGGGCTGCACGATGCGTTTTAGGTTTTTTTTTTTTTTCAAATAGCAATTACAATAGGTTTTCAGCACTTCGTGCTTGAACACCTAATAATAGGGGACCTTTTTGACAGTTATAGCGCCACCTATGGTCCGATCTCCATGAAACTCTGCATGCTTCTTCACCATGTTATGACACATGTGCTCATCAATTTTTGTGAAGTTCTGAGTTTTTATTTATGATTTATAGGCTTCTGAGTGTATTTTGACACGCCCCCTTTTCTAAATGACCCTGTTACAGTGAACCAAAGGGCAAAGTTAAACTTTTTTTTGATAATTATTGATCTAGAGAGTCCATAGAATTGTCCTAGACTGGTCTGGTTCCGATCAGGCAAAAAACCAGGGACTAGTTCGCAAAAGTAGGTTTTGGACAAAATTGGCCATAACAAATTTTTTTTTGCTCAGATCGAGAATCCGAGATATACATCTTGTCCGTCTTGAGCCAAGGAACACAGTGGTGCAAAAAGCTTGATTCCAAGTCAAACGGTCTAGGAGTTATGAGCAATTTAGTACTTTTGGTTGCTGTAGCGCCACCTATGGGCCAATCGGGGTCATACTCTGATAGGTTCTCCCCAAACTGAGGCCCTAGCACCTGGCCAGGTTTCAAGTCTCTAGGCCTTACGGTTTGGGCTGCACGATGCGTTTTAGGTTTTTTTTTTTTTTCAAATAGCAATTACAATAGGTTTTCAGCACTTCGTGCTTGAACACCTAAGAACACCTAATAATAGGGGACCTTTTTGACAGTTATAGCGCCACCTATGGTCCGATCTCCATGAAACTCTGCATGCTTCTTCACCATGTTATGACACATGTGCTCATCAATTTTTGTGAA